ACAGCGTGCCTGGCTTTCAGCCGTGTGCCCTTCTCTTTCCCTTCTCTCACTGTGCATCTTTTCTATTAATGATGTTTGGGCTTCTTTTTTTTTTTCAGTACTGCAGATGCCTGCACTGAGAATCCACTCATAACCATGCTGTCTGCATGATCAGCTGTAGTAGCAGAAACTTCACGAGTATCACAGAGAGCATCATCGTTATGGCTCATCACAGAAGCATTCTTCTAACACTTAGTGAAGTGTCACTTTGATGGCCACAAGTCACACATGAATGGCAGACAAGTTACAGTCTCCATTAGCAGTCTTCAGGCACAGGTAATCTAATGTTCTCTATCTTGGTTGCTAATATTCTATAGGTAAAAGGGCTGCTGTGAAGTAGGTTTTGCCTTTCCATGATTCTGATGAAGTGTATTTGTGACAGAGATACTCTGTGGTACATGGTAAGAAGAAGAACTCACAAGTCACACATCCTGAGTGTTAACCCCGAAGCTGCTCCTTACAGCAGCCTATCTGATCTTTACACAGTTGGTTATGCTGGTTGGGTCATTCTGTCATCATCAGTGAAGTAGGAGACACACTTTCTAAATCTTGCAGACCCCAGGGTCCAGACTGCTGTGTTTGGCCCATGCCTTAGTCATCTGTGTACGTGTCTTAATCCACTGTACAGACAGTGGGTCTGGGAGATGCATTGATTGAAAGGGATTCTGTCTTTCGGTCTGTTGGTGATAAACAACCCTAGTTCCACATCCCACTGTCTCATAGGTAACAAGCACGCACATAAAAAATGGCTCTAGTTGTTACATTTCTTATTTTAATTGATCTCAGATTTTTTGAATTTTTCAATGAACATCATGCAATGTCACTTAATCTGTGAGGCATGTTTTAACATAGCACTTGGCTGTTAAGATAAAGAGAAGAACTCAATGAGGTTATACAGTTACACCAGAGACCACATCCATTATCTTCCCGGTGTAACAGAATATGGTAGCGTGCTATTGAATAGCAGCCAAGAGCAGCCGTGGGGTGCCAGACCCATGTCTCCCTGGCCTGCTTAAAATAACACATACATTACCTCTGATGTTTCCAAAACATGATTGACAAACATCACACTAAAACTATCCTTACTAGGTAATGTCTACTCACCATGACTATTTTCATGAGACAATTCAGCACAAATAGAAAAATCAGCTCTCTAGTTACAGTTTAGCAAAGTATCTGTGATTTTATTTCTCTCTCTCTCTCTCTCTCTCTCTCTCTCTCTCTCTCTCTCTCTCTCTCTCTCTCTCTCTCTGTGTGTGTGTGTGTGTGTGGTTGCATGTGTGTGACCTGTGGACAACAGGCCTCCAACATGAGTAAATAAGAATGAATGCTTAGGCACGCCAAGCTTGTGGTCTGGCAGTATCCCCACTCACAGAATTCTGCTCAGTGTGGTAGGCATTCAGGCCATAGATGCTGCAGTGAACCTGTTTCCTTTCTTCAGTTCATGGAACATTAATTCCCAGCCTCCATCTGGGACAGTATCATGAGGCTTTTGTTTCTTACATAGAGCAGAGTCAACCTCATACTATAGAGACCAAAAATGTCAAACATGAACATACCAATCTGAGCACTGGCGTTCTGCAAACCAGCCACAGAGACTCAGAGATGGAGCTGGGAATCTGCCAGCTGGGAATCTGCCAGAGAGCAGGAATTATGGAGTTCCCCCCACCCTCACTCCTCAAGCACACTGCAGTCAGAGCTGAGAGGCTCACAGCACAAGCTTCAGTTAGTTCTTGGGCACAGTGGGGAAGTCAGTTCCTCATCAGATCACACCTGTGCATGATTTGGGTCATTGTTCCCTAGCACAGACAAAAGCTTGGTTCTTCAGCCCTCCTGTTGATTCCATAAAACGCCTAATTTCTTTCAACTTGCATAAATCATAGTCAAAACCATTACTATGCAATCACACACAATAGTGGTATGCTTGTCATTTTGAGGCTATTCTTCTCAACAGGAGGAATTTGTTGTTCCCTTTTTTCCCATTATTGTAGGACATAGAATTGTAATCAATTGTACAAATCAAAGGAGGTCACCCTAAAGACCATGGTTGGCCAGAAGGGATATGGCCTCAGGCAACCAGTGAGCCACACAGGGTCATGTCATATTGGAAACAAGTGGCCAAGGCTAACTGTAACAAGAGGACACAGGGACTCTAACTGTGAGCTCTAAGCAAGTTCATGAACAAAGGCCAGAGGGTGTCCCTGTATAGCCAACACAGTGTGGAACAAGATTAACATGCCCTCAGTGTTCAGCAAAACTGACTCAGCTAGGAAAAGATGCAAACCAACAGCATTTTCTTGAGGAAATATAAAAGCATGTATCAAAAGTCCACAATCATTGCATAATGGTGTTATGGGATTTAAGTGTGAACTATAGATAAAGCCTGTTAGTTCATAGACTTTTTATTGCCCAGCCTCTGAGAAAGAATGAATAGGTAAGTACCCTTCTGAATGGATTCTCTAAGGATGTGAGAAGTTCTTGAGAAATTTCTTCTTTCTTTCTTTATTGGTTATTTTATTTGTTTACATTTCAAATGTTGTCCCTCTTCTTGGTTTCCTCTCTGAAAGCCCTCTATCCCATCCCCCCTCCCCCTGCCTCTATGAGGGTGTTCCCCAACACACTCGCCCACTCCCACCTCATCACCCTAGCATCCCCCTGTGTTGAGGCATTGAGTCTCCACAGGACCAAGGGCCTCCCCTCCCATTGATGCCAGATAAAGCAATCCTCTGCTACATTTGGCTGGAGCCATAGGGTCCCTCCATGTGTAATCTTTGGTTGGTGGATTAGTCACTGGAAGCTCTGGGGGGTCTGGTGAGTTGATACTGTTGTCCTTCCTATGGGGTTGGAATCCTCTTCAGCTCCTTCAGTCCTTCCCCTAACTCTTCCCTTGGGGTCCCCATGCCCAGTCCGATGGTTGGCAGCGAGCATCCACATCTGTATTGATCAGGCTCTGGCAGAGCCCCTCGGGGGACAGCTCTATTAGGCTCCTGTCAACAAGCACTTCTTGACATTAGCAATAGTGTCTGGATTTGCTGTCTGCAGATGGCATGGATCCCTAGGTGGGGAAGTCTCTGAATGGCCTTTCCTTCAGTCACTGCTCCACTTTTAGCTCAGCCAGGGTGTGCATTTCCTTCCATAGTAAACTGAGTTTGAGGTGCAGAAGTGTGCTCAATACTGTGGTTGGCTCACCCAGAAATAGATTTTAGGTATTTCTTGTGTATGTGTGTGTGTGTGTGTGTGTGTGTGAATGTGTGTGTGTGTATGTGTGTGTGCGCATGCATGTATATGTGTGTGTATATAGTATATGTGTGCCTGTGTGTGTGGTATATATGTGCATGTATCGTGTATGTGCGCATGTATGGATGGATTTTCATGATCATATGTGTATGGAGAGGCCAGAGGTTGACATTCGATGTCTTCCTCCCTGCCCTCCACTCTATTTGTTGATCAACATTTCTTACTGAAGCTGGAGGTGTCTGACTAGCTAGACTGGCTGGCTAGAGCCCCCAGGATCCTCCTGTCTCTACCTTCCTGACTCTGGAATTGCAGATGAGCACTTCCATGCCTGGCTTCCTATGTGTGCACTGACCATTGACTTAGGGTCCTCACACATATACAGTAAGCCCAGATACATATATTCACATATACATATAAGTATATCGGGTCACCTCCTTAATGAAGGCACTTCCTTTTATTCTTCATCTAATTAATACATTTTACTTCTATTATTTGAATCTGTTTCCCAAATAGGTATTTATTTAGCTGTTTTTTAAAAATATCATCTCCCTTTTCCAAGCAAGTAAGCTCATTTCCAGAGAAACATTTGTGTTCCATGCTAATGAACCATGCCTTGGCGTTATTGAAGTAACTGAAATTCCCAGTCATGGTGCCTATCCTAACACAAAACGCCTATGCAGGCAAATCTCAGTCTACATTCTGTTCTCTGAATGAACACAGGGAGCCTTGCCAGGGTTGCATGCTGCAAATATGAGAGACACAATTTGCTGAACAAATTAGCATGATTGGGGAATATTGAAAAATTCTAGTTTTAACACCATCTTTATATCAGACCATTAGATCACTTGTATCTCTACCCAAAGATATATCCTATGTATTACAACAAGCACATAGAATGGCCACCTTTTCAAAACCCTTGACTGTTCATATTCCTACGAGGAAACAGGAGGTACTGTGAGTTAATATGCTATGACCAATGTTACACTGGGTTTTTCTGTATCAAAACACATAAGCTCAGATTTGGAAGGTTCTGGTTCAGTTGTTTGTTTGTTCTGTCCCGAGGCAGACTGGTCTGTTGTCTAGGCTTGCCCTTTTTGGTTTGTGCAGTCAGTTGGTAGATTTCCCAAAGGTAGGGAGGCAGAGGTGGACTCAGCAACAGTAGCTTCTCCTCACACATTCTTGCTCCCTGCAGAAGGAAGGCTAGCCTGGGCTTGGCTTCGCAGCAGTGAGGAGATCCCAGTGAGACTGAGTGGATGCCAGCAGAGTCTTTTAAATGCAGGGACTTGTACATGCTGCCTCCCTGGCATTTAGAGAAAGCCAATGTGAACTTTAATTCCAATTTCCCTGAGAGAATTACATCCTACCTCTTGACAGGTATATCTACCATGTCACTGTGCAAAAGGCACATCAACAGAGAAGGGGACGCGGTCTACCACAGATGTCACTAAGCTTGTTTTCGTGAGTTGCCTAAGAAGATATTGGTTAGACCCACTAGGTTGCTTCCAAATAAGAAAATTAATGGGGTCATAAATCCTACATTTTTGAAGCTAATGGCAGTATACATCGGACTAGGCTTGGATCTCATAGGCCATCGAAACCATTATTTGTGTTGGCAAACTTGGCCAGGCACCATATGCACCGTGATTAGAACACAGTGGTGCCAGGGTTAGCCCAAAGCCAAATGCAGAGAGGATAATAAATGAAGATGCTTCACACTGCCAGAGCCTGGGGGTGAAGAAACTAAAAACCAAAGAAACAGAACATTTACAAACCAGCTGAGAGCTGTCAAGTGTTTGAGATCTTGAAATTGTCTCTTATTTTGTTTCTAAAGAGCCTAAGTAAACTACAGCCTTAAGCAAGTTGGTTTTCTCTAACTCTGATAAGTTTTAATAATGCCCTTAAAATGTTGGGTTTGGGGATAGAGAGCTAGTTCATTGTTAGGGCCACTCACTGCTGCTTCACAACCGCCAGGAACTCTGTTCCAGAGGATCTGAACCTCCACTTCTGACCTCTGTGGGCCCTGCATGCATATGGGGCATATAAATATATGTAGGCTAACACTCATACTCATAAAAATAAGAAATATTTAAAAATCAAGGAAAACATTATGTTCACTCAGATTTATTTCTCAACTCCTCCTTTCTTTCAATGTAGATCAAAGTGAGAGCTGTTTAAGGCCGAAGTCCCTCGGATGTAACCTGTCTCTGTCTAGCAGTGGCACATAGGAACAACTTCATCACCTGACATTCCAGGTTTGGTTGAGGATTTTAGACTATCATGATAGGTAGCACAGAGAAATCCACACCTCAACTGTCAGAAAGCAGAGGTAGAGAATGCCTGTTGGTGAGTCCTGTCTGCAAATGTCCTCACGGGCATACTCAGAGGCATGCCTTCCCAGATGTGCTTAGGAAGCCAACTGGACAGAGATTGTTAGTCATCAGAGGTCTACCTTTGTCAGCTTGACACACAGATGCCATCTTCGTAATCTATAAAAGTGCTTGGTGTGGCCTATCATGAAAACAAAAAGTGTTAAATGAACCATTAAACAGAAGAAACTTTTATTGGCTTCTCAGCTTAAATTGTGTTTTGATTTTGAGACAAAAAAACTCCAAAGTCTATTTGAATAGGGGGAGAAAATATCTGAAAATGCTTGGAACAATATCTTTATTAAGGGTGTATAGTCTGCTGTGATACCACTGGTTTGTGTGTGTGTGTGTTTCTAATGAAACGTATAACATATTCAAACCTTATAAAGGTGAAAAATTATCCATACAAAAAACACTGTAATACACACACACACACACACACACACACACACACACACACACACCTGGGAAGTATGAGAGCAAGAGAAATTTTAATGGTTTTCTTACTCAAAAACATTGAGTTCAGTAAGTACTTTTGGCCAGTTATCATTAGAGCGTAGATTTGCATAGCAGAAAGCACAGTTAAACCTATTTTGCTGATAATTTTCTTGTGAATTTAAGACAAAAGTAAAGCATAAACTATTTGAGTTCTATCTCTAGCATTGCAGCGTCCCTACTATTTAGCATACCTCTAAAGCTGCAGAGGGGTGCCAGGCAGCAGGGAGGGAGGAGTTCCTTGTTTGACCAGTGAGTCATCTTTTTTACTGGTAGCTAGAAGACAGGAAGGGTCATTTTCCCCCAATATCTCTAGATATTTTCAAGTAAATATTGAATTTATTTTTAGATGCTTGGAGAGAGAGAGAGAGAGAGAGAGAGAGAGAGAGAGGATGCATTTATGGCTTGGATAAGAACTTTTTGAGGACAGCATTTTTGCACTTTTTAAGATTGCAGCAGACTTTCCATGACAGCACAAGTTCTGTTTTCTGTCATCTGTGCCCCATCCTATGTCACCAGAGATACCAGAGACGCAATGAATGTGTGGAATATTTAAGCTCTATTCTTTGAAATGATATCGTGATTTTCTTCTACAATCAAATGCCTTTAATTGCTACTTCTCTTTGAAGTTCTTGAGTGTTTTTTTATGGCTGTAATTGTAAGCCCTGCTACAACTTATTAAGTAAAATGCCCTTTCAAGTTTATGAAATCGCTTTAATTTTTTTCAAATCATATGCAGAAAAGGGTAAATGAAAGAGGGAATTGGTTGAAATTTGCCAGGAGTTTCAAAAGCCTTCATTACAGGTAATTTTAATCCTCGATTAAAAGGACTTATTTTTAAAATAGCTTTGTAATTAAACATTGAAATGAAAATGAATCGAGCATCTTTTGAGTAAAGACTTTTTTCTCTGGTACTAAAGTTTGTAAGAGCAGAGTTTTATATGAGAATAAGGATGGTTCGTGTACAGGCAGGTAGCACTCACACTGTCTGACCAGCTGCATTCAAGGGCCTTCCCTTTGACCACATCATGTTCATTGCCTTGAGAGGCCCATGGAGGACCCAGCTCTGCCCTGCCTGGCTCTACTGCACAGTTCCACTACAGTTACATTGCAGGGGTGTCACATTCCACAATGGAAAAGTCACAAGCATACTGCCTATGCTCAAGTAAATGAATCTCACTCATGCCTATGCAGGCAACCCTGCTTAAATTCTATCTATCTATCTATCTATCTATCTATCTATCTATCTATCTACCGATCTATCACCTATCTATCATCTTTTTTCTTCTTTCCTTCCTTCCTTCTTTCCTTCCTTCCTTCCTACATTTCTTTCTTTCTGTCTTTCTTTCTTTCTTTCTTTCTTTCTTTCTTTCTTTCTTTCTTTCT